GGGTCCTTCCCAATAGAGTCTATGCATACAAGAGGAGCTTTGATTTTTTGAAATGCGTTTTTATAGGTTCAGCTGAAGTGGTTTGTAAGATAGCTTTTCCAAATAACTCTCCATGGTAACATAACTTTGGAACATACACAACCACACACACTCACACGGATATACACACGTACACACACACACAGTCGTCCTCTACAGCAGAAAATGGAGGGGAAATGATGCAACAGCATGACTAGTAGGTATATTCCAGTAAACCGCGATGGTGAGTGGATTCTCAGATGGTTCCAGACAGCTTTTTGTACAGAAATAGCCCGGTGAGAACACCCAGCCTACTCAGACGGCAGAACAAATCCCAGGAACTTGCCTTTGTGCAACCTTCAAGCTCAAGTCTAAACACATCAGAGCTTGGCAGGGCTGCTCGGGTACATTGGCCGACAGGCAGACACTCTAGTCCCTCAGGCTCTCTGTGCTTTTCCCTCAGAACCAGCAGATTCTTACGGATTGGACCCCACCAGCCCATCCCCTGCCGCCAACATGCAGAAGCGGAAAGCCCCTCGAGTTTCTCTCCATCACACAGCTGGACCAAAACCCAACTCACTCCCACTCGGAAGGAAAGGAAGAAACACCAGCAGGTATAAAGAAACATGCCCATGTGTGCATGTTTGGCAGAAACAAGGAAAATCATTCTGTCTAGGAGGCCATTCTGAAGCTAGGTCACGCACAGTATCGCTCAAATCGGGAAGTGGTGTCTTTGGCTTCAGGATAGTGGTGGCTGATGGGAGCAAGACGGAGTAACATGAAGCTGCCGTTCTAGAGACTTTTTCATAATTGACACGGGAGTGGGGAACACCAGAGGACTTGCTCTTACCTAAGTCCCAAGACAGAATAATAAAAGAGCTGTCCTAATTTTTAGCGGAGTCAGCCAATCTACAGGGAACCCGAGTAAAAATTTCTCATCAAAAGCCAACGCTCTAAAATAGGCACCATATGGAAAGCAGTAGAAAAGGAACGTTTCCATCGTACAGCAGATATACCTGGGAGAGCACGTCTTACTCCTGGTTAAGGAAAGAGAGACTTTTATGTCTGGTTTCCGGGACACTGGAACGATCACGTTCCATGGAAATACTGCCTCACCTGCTGGCTCCTGCCTGAAAAATCCTTTCTGAGTCGAGAAAGCCTTAAAGTCCTCAACAGTGGAGAAAGCGAAAGAAGCAAAATCAGCCATCAGGATAATGCTCATTTCCTGAACGCTTACTTACGGTAAATGCTTACATTCATACTCAGGACTTTACATGAATGATCTCCTTTAATCCCTGTGGTGGCTGGTCCCCAGGATGACCCCTCCATGACCTGGCCTCTACATACATAGACGCCCTCGTGCAGCGCCCTTCCCTTGAACTTGGGCTGGCTCTGGGACGCACACATAACCAGCAGCATGGGGCGGAAGGGGTACTGCGCGGTCTCCAAGCCTAGCTCGGGAGAAGCCTGCCACCTTGGTTTCTTGGAAGGGGTATTCTGGGGGAAACTCAGTTGCCAGATGAGAAATCCAATTCCCCTGAACCTGCCATGTTGGGAGAAAGCCCAAGCAAGTCACGTGGTATGGCTGAGTGGAGAGCGATGCCGGCGATGGCCCTCGGCTAGTCCCGCCGTCTGGCACCAGGTGCCAGACACGTGAACGAAGAAGCCAGCTTCAAGCCGTCACAACGTCCTCTTCAGACGATTTGGCCCCGACCCAGAATCTGATGACCCTAAGTGAAAATTGCCCAGAAGAGCCCACTCAATCCGCAGAACATTAGAAATCATAAGAAATTGGTGCTTTAGACCACCAGGTTTTGGAAGGCTTTGTTATCCAGCCAGAGATTGCTGAGATATTTACTCTCCAAGATCCTGAAAATCACAGTGAATGCTCCAACATCCATTTCACTCTTCCTAACTGTGCAATCTGGGTTCCCCTAGGGTACCTCTCATCGGACTATGCTAGTGGTTTTCAAAGTGTGATCCTGTGGCTTCAGTGTTATCTCAGAACTCATTAGAAAGGCAAATTCTGGGACATCTGGGTGGCTCAGTTGGTTAAGCCTTTGCCTTCGGCTCAGGTCATGATCTCAGGGTCCTGGGATCGAATCCTGAATCGGGCTCTCTGCTCAGTGGGAGCCTGCTTCTCCCTCTCCCTCTGGCTGCCGCTCCCCCTGCTTATGCTCTGGCTCTCTCTCTGTCAAATAAGTAAGTAAAAAATAAAAAAAAAAAGGTAAATTCTCAGGCTCTTCTCTAGACCTGCAGAATCAGAAATTCAAGCACCGAGGCCCAGTTATCGGTCTAGTGATTTGTGTTTTTATGCGTCCTTCGGGTAATCCTGACATATGCACAAGTTTGAGAACTCCCATCCGTATACCAACCCCGGTAACCCTGTCCATACCTTGCTAGTAACCGCTTTAAGGACCCAGGCCTCAGTCAAGCAGCACCTGGCATTCCGTTGGTGTCAGTCATGAATCCGTGCCCGAGGGCATGGTCCCTCCATCCTGGTGACAGTCACTCTGTGAAAGGAGCCGGCCTTAAGAGACAGCTGCCATCAAGAATGGAAGGCAGGGAGGCCAACCAAGCCTGGGTCCCTGGCAGCAGGATTCAGGCAGACCGTGTCTCCTTTGAACTTTGAATTAGGGCGGGTGGGGTGGGGAATGTCCGTCAATTTCCTTACTGCTTAGACCCATGTGAGTTGGCTTCTGGTTTCTTGCACCTCCAAACACACAGAGCGTGATGATCTGTCTCTCACGTGGGAGAGGCTAGCTGATTTGCAGTATAGCTCAGACCCCTAGGAAGCAGAAAAGCTAGGGTTGGATCCTAGCAGAAAAGCTAGGATCTCTGTGTTGTCAAAGCCACCATCATAATGAAGCCCCGAAAGGGTGAGCTTTGCCCTCTTCCTGAGATCAGAAGCTTCTGTGCATATACTCCATGGGTTAGTAAGGTGTCTGACAGAAGAAGGGAACCACGGAATGGGGAAAAGGTCCAGGGAGAGGAGGGAGGTTGCAGAAAAGAGAATTCCTGCTGAATTCTACTCAGGTCTGGCCTCTGCTTGGGTATTTCTTCCTGTCCCTAAATTGAATGACGTCCTTTCTCCTTTCCTTTCCCCCCAAACAGACTGTCATATTCTGTTGTTTTGCAGGGAAGATGCCAGGAGAGGGTAAGGCAGAGTGTTCCTTTGGCGAGCAGGCTGATTGGTCCAAGGAGGTCTATAAACGGCATCCACCCACAGCCCGCTACTCCAAAGACAGTTTATAATCACAAAAGGAACAATCCGGAAGATTCCAGCTGTCAACACAGCTAAAATGTAGCAGCAGCAGACCTTGCACAGGAGACACAGGCCATGACACGGATTGGGGATTTTTCTAACCTCGGGGATCCCCAGGCTCTATGCCCCCTCAGGGGATGCCAACATTTGAGGGGGGCAGGGGGCTCTTGCCTCTATTCCCCTACACTGTGTTCTCCACCGGAGGTCTCCTCCATCCACTTCTGACACACCCCGGCCTCTTCTGGAACTGACCACGAGAGTGAGGTGCCTAATTTTAACCTGTGATCTGAAGCCCAGTTGGGGGCAGTCCCAAGGTACCAGGTGGCTGCAGCTAGAGGGCCCTTTCAGGGAAAACACGAAACAAGGCTTAAGAGAAACAAGACAAACAAGAAGGGGACAACTCTTTTCCAACTGTCATCCAGAGTTTGAAACACGGGCAGATCAGCTTTGTTAAAAGTTCTGATAAATGTTCTCCTAATTCGAAACCACTGGCTCCGGGAAACAGCAGGCATTTCTTTTTTTTTTTTTTTTTTTTTAAAGATTTTTTTTTTTTTTTTTTTTTTTTTTTTTTTTTTTAGATTATTTGACAGAGATCACAAGTAGGCAGAGAGGCAGGCAGAGATAGAGAGGAAGGGAAGCAGGCTCCCCACTGAGCAGAGAGCCTGATGTGGGGCTCGATCCCAGGACTCTGGGATCATGACCTGAGCTGAAGGCAGAGGCTTTAAGCCACTGAGCCACTCAGATGCCCCCTTTATTTCTTTTTTTTGACAGAGAGAGAGAGATCACAGGATCACAGGTAGGCAGAGAGGCGGACAGAGAGAGAGGAAGGGAAGCAGGCTCCCTGTTGATCAGATAGCCCGATGTGGGGCTCGATCCCAGGACTCCGGGATCATGACCTGAGCTGAAGGCAGAGGCTTTAATCCACTGAGCCACCCAGGCGCCCCCAGCAGGCATTTCTTGAAGCCTCGGCTGGTGCGTGGCATTAACTGAGCACTGGGAAAGGACATCAGTGAGGGGACAGTCCTTCCAGGGATGCTTAGAAACGACTATAAAACAAGTCGACAACTAAGATAGAGAGGATAAGACAAGGCACCGCCTCCTTCCTCGGTACTATTGTGTCTAAACTACTGTGATCCCAGTCAGGAGCCCAGGCGTAAGTCCTGTCCTTATCTCCACTGCACCGATAAGCAAACCGAGGCACTGGGTGTTTAAGTCATTTTCCCAAGGTCAAGGGATTTCAAACCCAAGCAGGCTGATTCAGGAGGCCGTGCTCCTGACCCTGATGCAGGATGCTAGCAGGGAGGAGAGCAGGGAAGAATGGGGTTCACCCATACGGCCCCCTGGAGGAGGTAAGGGTTCAGAAGACTGGTGGGGATTCAGGGCCATGTTGTTGGTAAATGAGAATGAGCAAGAGGTAAAAAAAAAAAACCACACACACACACACACACACACACACACAAAACTTAGGTTCCCCTTCTTGCTAACTCATGTTGCCTTTTTCTTAAGATATATTTATTTATTTGAGAGAGAGAGAGAGAGAGAGAGAGACAGCACGAGTGGGGGAGGGGCAGAGAGAGAAAGTCTTAAGCAGACTCCCTGATGAGTGTGGAGCCCGAGGCGAGGCTCTATCTCCCCACCATGAGGTCATGACCTGAGCTGAAACCGAGAGTCCGTGGCTTCCGGCCTCCCCCACCCAGGTGGCCCTGGCCCCCGTTACCTGTAATGACCGTAGGGGCAAGTCTCTTCCGTAGCTTTGGTCCTTAGGCCCGCGCCAAGCCCTGGGGACCGGGTTTTCCCGGAGCCGTGGGTCTGGACGGAGAGCGATCCGGTCCCCAGGCTGAGCCGCCCTCTTTCAGAGACAATGAGCCCCAGCTGAGAGCGACCCCGTGGGCCCCGCGCAGCGGCCAGCCTCCCCGCGGGCTCCGGCCTTCCGTGCAGCGGCTCCGCTCGTGAGCACATGCCCTGCACTCCCGGACAGGCCCGGGACGCCAGGGCCACCCAGCCCAGCGTCCTTTCCCCGGCGGGCGCCGCCGAGGCCGGAGCTGGGGGCAGCGGAGGTCTTGGCGAAGGGCCCTTCTGGGTGGGGCCGGATGGTCTGGGCCCCTGGACGGCTGACTTCTGCGCCTGCTGCCGGTCGTAGCGCCCGGTTCTGGCCCCCATGCCCGCTCACTCCCTAGAAGAGAGGCCGGTGGTGAGGATGGGTGGCCTGGGCCCAAGGGGAGTGCCCTGGGCCCCCGTGCTGAGCCTGTCCCCCCGCCACATGGTACCCGCCAGGCGGCTGGGGGGACACATTTCCAAACCCACCAGCTCAGTTTCTCTCCTTGTGCAGACCAGAGCCGACTCTGCTCCTCATGAAACATTTTACTTACTGTATTATTTTAAAGATATTAGGTATTTGAAAGAGCACGAGCATGAGCAGGGGAAGGGGCAGAAGGAGAGGGAGAAGCAGACTCCCCCCACCCCTCCCCCGCCCGCGACCTGGGAGCCAGACAGGGACTCCATCCTGTGACCTGATCCAAAGGAGTTGCTAAACCCACTGAGCCACCCAGGCGCCCTTCCTCATAAAACATTTTATTTTATTTTATTTTTTATTTTTTTTTTTTAAAGATTTTATTTATTTATTTGACAGAGATCACAAGTAGACAGAGAGGCAGGCAGAGAGAGAGAGAGAGAGGGAAGCAGGCTTCCTGCTGAGCAGAGAGCCCGACGCGGGACTCGATCCCAGGACCCTGAGATCATGACCTGAGCCGAAGGCAGCGGCTTAACCCACTGAGCCACCCAGGCGCCCCCCTCATAAAACATTTTAAACAGAGGGATGCACTAGGTCATTTCATTTAGTTATCACTGAACCTTAATCACTAAATAAAAATTTAGGATTTATCAGAAGCCAAAACATCATCTTGGGAGACTGGGTGGAATCCTGGGGTGTGCAGGCAAGGTCAAAGGTCAAAAGGTCAAAATGTGAAGGTAAAAAATGTGAAAATGGTTTACAAATGTTTTATAAACTGTAAGACCCTATGTGCAAGAAACTGGAATCACTTATTCCCAGAGTAGGGGGGGCCTCCAGTGAGCAACCCGCTCTGTGACCCAGGAAGTCAACTGCACAATTCTCTGGCTTGGGTTCTCCCTCCGAAAACTGAACGTGTAGGATGGACAAGTTTTTTAAAAAAGCAGTTTTTTAATGAGTTCAGTGTACAAGTTACTGATTTGAAGTGTGTTCTCAGTATATTCACAGAGTTGGGCAACCGTCACCATAATCCATTTTTAGAACATTGTCATCACCCCAAAAAGGAACCTTGTACCCTCTGCACTCACTCTCCACCCCCTCAGCCCCAGGCAGATACCAATCCCCTTTCTGTCTCTATGGATTTGCTTATTCTGGTGAAGCTGTGTGTGTGTGTGTGTGTGTGTGTGTGTGTGTGTGTGTACACACACATTTTATACATATATACTTTTTTTTAACATACAAGAAGCTGGGGTAAAAAGCGAGTGTGCCCTTCAAGTGTGCCCCTTCTTCCTACCATCTGAGATCTAAATTCCCACTTTGCTTGGGAAGAGCAGGACATACATGGTTTCCATGGGAAGCCGAAAGCAGGAAAGAAGGGTTTTATGCAAAGAAAACAATTCGGATAAGATGTGAATGCTACCAGGGGCCCAGACAGGATTTGCGTAGCCCAGCTTTCTGGGAAACTTTGAAAAGTGGCTGATTTTTTTTTTTTCCTCATGTAGTCCTACAGAGAGTTGGTTGACTTGGTTGATTGGGAATGAAATATCTGAGGGACCCCTGGCTGGCTTAGGTGGAGTGTGCGACTCTTGATCTCAAAGTTATGAGTTTGAGCCCTGAATTTGGTGTAAAGATTATTATTTAAAAATAAAATCTTTAGGGGGTGCCTGGGTGGCTCAGTTGGTTAAGCGACTGCCTTCAGCTCAGGTCATGATCCCAGGGTCCTGGGATCGAGCCCCACATCGGGCTCCCTGCTCGGTGGGGAGCCTGCTTCTGCTTCTCCCTCTACTGCTCTGCCTGCTTGTGCTCTCTCACTCTGTCAAATAAATAAATAAAATCTTGAAAAAAAATAATAAAATTTTTAGGGGCGCATGGGTGGCTCAGTGGGTTAAGCCTCTGCCTTCAGCTCAGGTCATGATCTCAGGGTCCTGGGATCGAGCCCCGCATTGGGCTCTCTACTCGGCGGGGAGCCTGCTTCCCCCTCTTTCTCTGCCTGCCTCTCTGCCTACTTGTGATCTCTCTCTCTGTCAAATAAATAAATAAAATCTTTTTTAAAAAATAAAATCTTTAAAAAGAAAAAGAATGAAATATCCTAATTATCATATCACCAAAAAAAAAAAAAGATACTAACTAAATAATAAGGAATTATTTAAGGTCTACACTTTGGATGAATCTAAGGCTTGGACAGTGGCCTTCATATCAACATTAATCCTTTTATATAAAGACCCCTGAATAAAATTATGAACATTCACAATCACCCTGGGATTTATATGAAGGGCTGGTATAATATAATACTTGAGAGCTTATGGTTATTTCCTTGAGGTTATCTATGTTCCTCCAATCCCTGCTATAATCTATACTCCAGCTTTTTTAAGGATTTGTGTTATTTATTTATTTACTTTATTTAAGAGAGAGAGAGAGACCACAAGCAGTGAGAGAGACAGAGGGAGAGGGAGAGCAGGGAGCCCAATGTGGGGCTCAATCCCAGGACCCCGGGATCACGACTTGAGCTGAAGGCAGACGCTTAACCGACTGAACCACCCATGCGCCCCGGGACTAGTTTTTTGCTAGGATACTGCATCTTTCTCAATAACTTCATCTGTCTTGGTACTCTGGGGAGGTTGCAAGGGAGTGGATTTAAGGGAAATGTACTTATTTGGGTAGTGGTATAAGCAACGTTACTGGTAATTATGAGTAGGTGATTCCAGTTAATTGCACAAGTGGTTTTATAGTTTTATAAAACATTTTCACTTTTTTTTTTTATTACCTCATTTGATGCTTACCAAGTGCTATCAGTGGGTAGGGTCTCTATTCTTCAGAGTCAGAATGCTTGGGTTTGAATCTGCAGTCACCGAGCATCAGCTGGGTGCTTGTGAGGCACGTTACTTCGTCTCTGCCTTGATTTCCCCCTCTGTAAAGAGATCATTTCAGTGCTTACTTCCTAGGGATGTGATGAAGAGTAAATGAGCGGGAAAGACTTTAGAACCGTGCCTGAAACACACTAAACCAAAGCTCCATAATGATTCCCATTCTCATTATTATTGTTGCTGTTATTTTAGAAATGTGGGAACCATTGGCTTGGCAAGGTCCAGTGGTTTTCCCAAGAGCACAGCAAGTGGCCAGGCTGGGAGCTGAACCCAGATCTCCTGACTCATCGCATTAGTGGTTGTGAAATTATCTGACTATAAAAACTGGTGGTTAGCAACCAGAACGAGATATTGTGCCGCTAAAACAAAATCATCACGGTTTTATTAATTGGCAAGCAGAAGTTAATAGACTTTTCCAAACCTTAAACTTTTTGCCTTAGTGTTTGCTAAACCTTGGAGGACTTGGCTATTGTTCTGTCTCCCAGCACTTGCGGTGTTCATAACCAAGCAAAAGCTTTCACATAAGTATTAATGGGGAAGACTCGGAATGACCTGACCATGCTCAGTTCAACAGCTTTTTCATTCTCACTGAGCACTGGCCTTCTGGTTTAACTGCATTCACGCATCTTAAGCAGACTTTCTGCAGGTGCACCCGTCCTCGGTTGCATGAAGGAATTGGCTTCGCTGGGAATCTGCAGGATCCCACAAAGAACAGGATGTTCAGTAAGTTCCACTGCCCCCTTCGCAAGCCTGATGGTCACCAACTGTGCCACAGCCGTTCCTCCCCAACCCTGACTTCTGCCAGATGTAGACTCACTTTTTTTTTGTAGACTCACTTTTTTACTGTCCCTCAACCATGTGAATTTCAGATCTAGTATGTATGTTCTGAGTTATTCTTATAGGAGATAGTTGGAAAAGAAGGAACCAGGAAGCTGGGAACAGAGGTCAAGAACAGATAGGAGAGTTGGGGGAAACGCGTGCTTCTGCCATGCAACCAAAGGCCACCGAGGCAAAAATAAACCTCAGGATATGGGGGTACAGCACTGTTGAATGGAAGGGGAGTGGTATCTGGGTTATGCTGTGCTTTGGCCAAAATAATTCGGCAAAGCTGAGGATATATTGCCCTGCAGATTGGGGAGGAGTTTTGAGAAATAAGCATGTATGTGAATTTGTTCATTAACAGATTTATTTTTCCTCAAATATGCAAGTTATTTGGAACAAATCCCAAGAGAATTAGTTTTAGAATTAAAAAAAAAAAGGAATTAAAATTTGGTCAGAGAACCAGTAAAAATATTCTGTGGCATGGAATAAAATAAAATTAGCCACAGGTTCTTGGAAATAAAGGGAAAGGACATTCTAAAGCATTTCTAACCACGAAAGGGTGGTAACTTAATTATATCCTTCTCCCTAGTGTACAGCCTGTGTTAATCACACAAACACTGTAACTGACACTGTTGAATGCCAACCCAACAAAGACTTCCAGCTTCCCTCTTCCTTGTCCTGCTCCCACCAGAAGGGCTGCAAAAGCTAAACATTCTCTTTTGCAACCTGTCTTGCTGTAGGTAGCCATGTGACCTCATCCTGGCCTATGAGACATCCAGGGTTTTTTGTGGGAGTGGGATAGAGCTTTCTCCTTGACTAAAAGGAGAGAGACCTATGAAAAGAGCCCTTGTGCACCTCGCTTTCTTTTTGTTTTGCACGCTGCCATGTGAGGATGTGATGCCTGGAGCTGTGGCAGCCATTTTGTGACCAGGTAATACCAAGGCTGAAGCTGAAAGCTAACACACGGAGGAGGCTAAGTATGGCAAGATGGAAAGAGCTGGGTCCTTGAAAGCAATGTTGAGCTGCCAAACCAACCCTGAGGATCACCTATATTTCTAGACTCAATTAAGTAGTAAATGTCATTTGGTATAAGCCGCTGTTTGTTTTGTGTTACTTACAGTTGAAAGCATCCAACAGCTATGATGTAAAAAAAAAAAAAAGAGAGAGAAAGAAAAAAATCCATAAGTGCTCTTATGGGTTCACGAAGTATCTTGATCCCCCAGGCTTCCATCTTTTCTCCCTAAAATCTCATCACACCTTTTCACAAATAGCCCGGAGACACCACTTGTTACAGCGTCTTTCAGGATGATGTAAGGCTCATGCACACTATAAACTTCTACAAAAGCAAGAGAAATAGTAAAAAATGCTTCTGTAGTAGGTAAAGACACTGACTTTCATGCAAGGGACAAGAGGCCACGCAGCAGCTGTTTCTTCCCTCCTGGGAGAACACACGTTGTGGATGGAGTCAGAGGTGGCCGAGGAAGAATTCAAACACCCGTGCGAGACAGTAAGTGCAGGAAGGACGTGCTGAGGAAAACCATGAGCGCAGCTCCCCGGGCTTTAATATTAAGTTCACCCGAATCTTCAGAATCATGAACCGATGAGTGGGGGGTGAGGGTGGGGATTAATTTAAACTGAGAGAAAAAAAATTAGGACTTTGTAAAATGTTCCACTCCTGTTCCTGAGAGTGCTGGCGTAATAACAGTCATGAGCATGTTTGCAACATGTAAAAGGCGACCTGAAGCTGGGTGTTGCCTGTTTACGTCAAGGATGCAGATGCCCAGTGCCCAGACCCCTCCCCAGCAACCTGCTATCCCTGCTATCCCAGTAGAGGCACCACTGGCAGGACACTGTGTGGTCAGAGCTCTGCTGTGGAAAGCCGGAGGTTTTGGTTCCAGAGAGAAAGCGGTTTCTAGAAAATGTCATTCTTTGAAGCTGTGTTCTTATTTTGAAAGCCATCAAAGGCCCCAGGCAAAGATTAGGTTTTCAGGTTGCCACACCCTCAGATGAAAAAGCAGGACCAGGTGGGGGGCTGCGCACAGCACCCCACACCCTGCACCCCACACTTGCTCTATAAATACAGGGACTGAGTCTGTAAATCTGTCTGCAAAAGTCTGCAAACATTTGGGGACTTTCAGGATCCTTATGGCTCACCTCAGATCTGGTTTGACTCTCTAACTTTGGTAGATTTCTGATTGGAGAAAATGGAAGATACCTAACATTAATTTCTGGGCTATTTCATTCAACCACGTTCCCAAGGGGTTTGCTTTTCTCTGGAGCAGACAGACGTTGTTACCCAGAAGGCCACCTGCACGGAGCTGATGCTCCAAGAGCTCCCTCCTTGCGCAGCAAGCCCGCAGGCTGCCACTGCGGCTGCTCGCTTCTGATCCTTTCTCCAAGGCTTTGTCTAGGTGAACAAACCCTCCAATCGCTAAGCAGTCAGGGACGTGCAGGTGTTTCAGTTGTCCACAATGGAAGCTGGTCTGAGAATTCTGCCTACCCAAAGGTGAGGTAAGAGGTGCAGAGAGGGGTTGATTGCATTTTGACTTTTGCCCTTCTTGAACTTTAATCATAAGCCAAAGGCAAATTCCTTCTTGCTCCAGCTAGCCAGTTCTTAGTCCAGCTAGATCGGGACTTCGATTACCCGAAAACTGAGTCTGCGCAGATACTTCTAAAAACTTGTAATTAAAACTCATTTACCCCTCTATGTAAGCCCCCAGTTCTAACCATCTCGAGTCACATTTTTCTGTGAATTCCAGTGTACACAGATGAGTGAAAAAAATCTTTTTCTCTTAAAGCACTTCCCCTCAACTATTTTACACGAGCATGTTAATTCTTTTGAATAAAAAATTTATTTTGCAAATCAAGTAAGCACTTTCAAAGTTATCGTCTATACAAACCCCCTTTTTTAGGGTATTAGGTTTTCTTATAATACACCAGTGCTGTCATATACAATGGAGGGAGTAACATTAAAATACAGTGCAGGCCGAAGTTGTTTTCGATTTGCCAATTCATTGAGTAATTCAAATGAAAGGTGTAGTAGTTACATAGAAACAATTAAATATTTTCCATAATAAAAATATTATACCCACTCATATAACAATATGTAACTGACTATTCGGTTAAGTGATACAATGGTTAATAAACTGATTTGGGTTATCATCAAAAGAACAGAATCAGAAGAACATGAATGTAAATCTAGAAAGATATTTTCAAAAAATTCCAGTGAAGGGCTTTAGCCATTCTCAAACACAAAGAGTACATCAAGAGTAAGTGGTTTCTGTTTAACATGTTCTCTCTTTAGTGTCAGAAAGCCACAGATTTGATAAACATATGGTAAAGCCCAAGTTTTCTAGACATGAGTTCTGTAGTACCATTTATGTGTTATTTGTTCAGAAATGATGCCAACCCTATCAACAGAGCATGGCCAGGGTCGGGGAGGGGGGGCGGAGCATGCCCATGCTGAATGGTTAAGTAACAGGCAGAGGCGGCAACAGAGGTGGCTGGAGGCCGGGACACGGGGAGGGAAGCTCACGTCACTGTGCAGCTAGAAAGGGAAAAGCCCGGCTCGGGATTTTTATTTTTAGAGTGTTCCGAGACAAATTCCAGCAAGATGTCTGGTTTGAGTCAAGCCTTTCTTCTTGAACTTAGCTTCACGACTGAGGTACTTGGCATACTTAAGGGAAAAAATGAATACACTCAGATTTATTTTTCTTAGATATTAAGGTAGAAAAGTAGCTTAAGGAATAAGAATAGCCCAGAAATCAAAATCCTGTGTCCCGTAAATAGTATGGACAGACAGGTTTTGCTTATTAATGGAACAGGAAATGACAGAGAATTGGAGTTTAAGCTCTTTAAACAAGGAAAGGGCAGGGGAGAGCAGAGTGTAGGAATGCAGAGGCACCCCCCAAGAATGGAAAGGAAAGCCAGAGTCTGTCCATTTGATGTTCTGCTTTGGCCATTTGTAGCAAAGGCGTAGCAGGTTACGTGTGTGCTACCTGGCCCTGGTGAATTTCCCAGGTGCTATGGCCTGGGTTACATGGAAGTTGTGCCAGGCATCCTCCCCCTTCTGAAATTAGGCCAAGGCCTAAGTTCCTAGGCGATCGGAATCCCTCTGAACCAAGCTAGTTCAGAAAGCTGTCCCACTATGTCCAGTCCCAGCATGCTTCCGGTGTTCACAGAAGTCTGGGCCAGCCAGCAGTGGGAAAGGTATGCTTGTATTTCTGGTTTATATGCTTTTCAAATAGAACGCGTTTGACCAAACAAAGGGAACACAGTCCCGAACCTTCCTAACCTCCATAAATGCATGTAATCTGAGCCACCAAAAGGCAAGTTCTTTGTTCCCGATGCTGCGGGTACTGGGAGTCTGTTCTGTAGTGCAGAAAACTACACAGGAAAATCCAAGGCCCAAATTAAGTGACTGCTGCAGCCAGTATAAACCAGTAGGAATGTCATCTGGAATACTTTTGGCAGATAAAAGAGTGTCACCCCGCTGAACGATATTTTCAAATATCGTATCAGGAAGTAAGGTCACTTTGCTTGTTTCTAACCTATGCAAGTTAGTGTTTGCTTTGAAACGTAATTGCATACAGTGCTTTTTTCCTCTTGGGGATTCTTTCGATTTTGGAGGAGTGTCTGTGCTCCGGGCCCTTTCTCCAAGCTCTTACTAACAATAGTTATATTAAGTAGTTGCAAATGTGGTCTTAATGGGATGTCATTTACTTAAATCTGTAATACGTAAGGCAACTGCTCAATGTGCAGTATTTTCTGGGGATCCTTTTCTGAAAGTGGAAGCACAAACGGCTACGGTATTTTACACAGCCGTTGAGATAATTTTGGATCAAGTTTAAAACGATCAAATAATTATTCACTTTGAAACTGACACCACTGACGCCAAAGTACTCAATTTTTCAGGCTCATCTGGAGCTCAGCAGCTTTGTGCTAAACACGTTTAAAAAAAAAAAAGAAAGAAAAAAAGACACTGACTTACATTTTCTGAAGTTCAGAAAGACATCCAAAGGACAAAGGTAACTTTTTTGCTAATGCGGTTACAACAGTGACAGCGGATGATTTATCCTACCTATTCGATCAACATCGATCGACAAGTGCCCGTGTAGTTTCTCCACTGTACCAGGTCATGTGCACGTGCGTGAATGCAGAGAAAGACACAAACACGTTCTCTACGTTCTCGTTTTTAAAATGCTTATTCTCTCCCACACCAGTCATTCAAATAACGTGAGAATGTCCTTCTCTATAAGAACCCCAGCAGGCACGCGCACGCGCGCACACACACACACACACACACACACACACACAATGTAAGGGTGGGAGAGAAATCTAGCACTCTGAGAGGCAAAACCAGAGTCTCCATTTGTAATGATTACAAAATTTCATCAGGCAACAA